TACAACACTGAGATTCAAATTCACGATATAGCTCGATTACCGGCGCAGTATCCACGGGAGTCTTTTTGGTGCGACAGGTGCAAAGATTTGGAGCGCAGCGGACAAAAACGGCGCGAGTAATTGTGCTTAAGGGGGAGGTGGAAGGAGAGGGACAAAAACCAGTTTGCTAAAAACAACCCGCGCGCCGATTCCCAAGGAGTGGGCTACCGAACGTGCATCGTATAGATCGTACATCGCACACGACGGGATATGCAAGAGAAGAAGCAAATGACAAAAGAAATATCACGTTGAATTTTTTTAACCTCATCTTCAAAATGGGATAATATTTAAATTTAGTTACTGTTTCTTTTTTTTATGTACCCGTGGGTAGATCTATAAAGAAACAAGTTAATTGTTAGAGAAAAAAAATTAGTTTTGATATTTAGCTACCTTAGATAATATTTAGCTAAATCCAATTATGGATATAATAACTAAAAATTAGTTATCCATATAATGTATTTTTTCTCCGCGTATATTATATATTTTTGTACTCAATTTTCAAGGTCAGAAAAAAATAAAAAATTTACTAGGTGAGGGTCAACCAGCTATAAAATCTGCATTTTCTCCTTTTATGAAACGAGGCATACACAAAATATGCAAATTGTATTATTCATACCCGAATTTGAATTCTCATTCTTGAATTTAAAATAAATAAATAGTAAAATTATCTATTCTCAACGTATACAAAATTTACAGGAATTTTATTTCACATCTAATTTCACATGAAATAAAGATTAAAATTACAAAAAGAAATTAAATAAAAATAAAATAGAAATTAAAAAATGAAGTAATTCAGAAAAGAATGCGATTCAAAAAAAGAAGTAATTTGTAACAAAACGAAAAAAAGAAACAAAACGGTGGGTGGATCATTCAGAAAATTTTATATATATATATATATATATGTGTAGTGATGCACAATACAAGTGCTTCATTATATGAGTAAAATTACTACAAGCCAAGCAGATCAGCTCAGTTTACAACTGGTTCTTTTGTGAAGAAAAAAGTAAAACGAAGTTACGGTACGGAAACAACACGCGAAACTAAATAACTTTTTGCCCTGGGCAATCTCCTTTAAAACTGAAAGTGGTTCTTTTTTTTTTTTGTATGAACTAAAAGGAATTCTCTAGTCGACACGGGAAGAAAGACGTGCACAATTTTGGTAAGGAAAAGAGAATCGAGAAAGAGATCGCCAAAACGAATGAAAGATGTATATATTGTTGAGTTTCGCTCGTTTTTACCAAAAGTTTATAACCGTTTACTATAATAAAAATGTCTCGTTACACACGCTCTCTTTTTATTTTGGCGAGGACATTTTGGAAATTGGCAATAAAATGAAAACGCGGAACTTCCTTATAATAATGTGAGAAAGTTACAAAGAATAGGCGGAAATCAGAAATAAGTGAAATGCCATTCATCCTCAAAAAGAATAAAAAAAAAAGAACCAACACTATAACGAGAGTACCATTTTTTATAATTTGGTTCAAAAAGAGATATTCTAGGTTTTTGGGTCTTGTCAATCAAACTTTGTTAGATTGATTATTTTGATATACTTTCGTGATTTTGATATTTGAACGCTTCAAGGCATACGTGTGAATAAAGGAGAAAGGCGCGAGAGATATATCCCGAGGAGATCCTTTGAGAAGAGTGATTTTTCGAAGTAGAGCCTGACAGTTTTCGGACACGCCTCTTCCACCTTGCAGTTCCTTAAAATGGACCGTAAGACTGATTGACAACCTAAAACGGTAGTGCAACGCCCAATGATCATTTACATAAAATGTGATTTGCGACTGTCGGATTATATGTTGTAAAAACAAGATTCAACGCCATGAAAATCCATACCAAGACTTTCTTCTTTCAATATAAATTATGTTTCATCTTGTAAAATTGTAATACAAAAAAAGAAAGAATCATTCTTGTTTCATAAACACAAAAACACAAACGAATTGAATAACTAAAGATTGTAGTTACAAGGAAAAATAAATTTCGAAGAGATTTATTTCGTGAGATAGTTATAAATTTCAGAGATTTATTTTAGTTTATAGTAGATAAATAAATTTAAAATCGCAAATATTCGATATTGTTTTACCATCGGCCAGAAATAAATGAAAATACAGTTTTAGAGATTACGCAATTCACCTTCAATTATTACACGCGCGTATACTGTTTTTAAAGACAGGTTGTCACTGCGAATTTTCGGAGTGTTTTTTTTTTTTTTTTTTTTTTAAGCTGATTGATAAAGTTAGCTGCATCTTGAGATCTTTCGTGGCCTTCAAGTGCCGGACATAAATTCAAGAAAGAACAGCGCATAAATGACACACGAAGTGTTACAGTTACTCGTTTTTAATACATATAATGAGCCTACAGTTATAAATTAAAAATAATATCTTTTATATTTTTACACCAACTGAGGAAGAATAATATTGTCGTCATATTTCATTGTTAATTTTATTTATAAGAATAGTATTATTGCTGCATATTTTTTTTAGCTTTCATATTCGAGAAGAAAAAAAATAGGGCTGCGCGCAACGTTTCTGATAGAGAGTTAGTGATACCAGCATAATGTGTTAACTAAATATGGTAAACATAACCTAACTTTTCGGAATTACGTTGGCATCACTGTGAAACGTAACCGAAAAACAGTTTCTAATTGAAGCACATTTCTCATTAAAATTCAAGTAGAGAATGACTTTATAAATAACTAAATTCAATATGATGAAAGAAAAAAAGAACAACAATCTAAGCTGTACCAATCAACTATTTTTTTTTTTTTCTAAAAGTTCCATCTGCCCTTGTTCTTTTTTTTCTTTTTCTTTAATCAAAGAAACAGGAAAAAACCAGAAGAACATGAGAAAGGACGATGACCAAGCGTTGCTGCACGGTTCATCAGGTGATTCGTGAGCGGCATATAACAACGTGATTCCTCATCCTGACAGTAAAGCAGATCGGCGCTGCGTCTCGAGACTAAGAAAAACGCATTACACCTCAGCAACAAGGATTGGTATCGAATAAATAAAAATAGTTGTGTTTACAACCTTAGGCAAGACAACAAAAAGGTGTTGATTTCAAGTACCTTCGCTTTTCAAAAGGGGAAATGAGGAAAAAAAAAACATTATTATTACTCTTGCTCACGAACATTTTATACATGTCTTAAATTACTCTCTCTCTCTCTCTTTCTCTCTCTGCTAATGATAAAGTTACATTATTGCAGTTGCTAGAAAGCACTGCACGGACATTTTCGCTTAATTATAAAATGATTTGAATCCAATTCGTCCTAATTAATTGAGACTTTCATAATGTCACCCCAACATAAAAATGTCTACACCGGTTATTTTCATATATAGAAGGAGCATTTAAAAATAATTTTACGACATTATTAAACTAAACATAAAATTCTGAAGCTGAAGACTCGTTCTCTTTGGTATTTTAATTTACGAGTCTTCGATCTTCGAAAAATACTTAAATATTTTTTAATAAACATTCTATTTAACTTACTGTTATAGTGATTGATTTGTTGTAATATTTACTGTTAGAATTGAAGCTAATTAATCGCGGGAGGAACACCGGTAGCTTGGTTATAATTTTTTTTTTTTTTTTTTTCACAAGACAGAACAGATCTGGTTCACGATTTCGATTAATCGACATTAAACTGCTTCATACTATATACATACATATATACCGGACAACCGGTACTATCTCAAGAGTCAACGAGGCGACAATTCTTGTTCCTTGCCTACGCCGCAGGATGTCCTCAATTCCAGTAGAGCAGTAATTTAATGCGGTTGCAAAGTGTCTCTTGAGAGTCGTTCATACGCGCATTTTACGTGCCCATCGGAAAGATGATTTCCAATTGAGCTCTTCTCTGTGTATATATATATATATATATATATATATATATATATATATATATATATATATATATATATATATATGTGTGTGTGTGTGTATAAATTCTTCACAAGAATTACAAAAATCCTGGAGAAATTCCCCTGAGCTGACCACACGTACTATAAAGAAGATAAAAGCAAAAGTGTCCAACCTCCTGACATCAATTTGCCTTGGCATAATTTATTAATAATACATATCAAGTTTATTTATTTTATTTTTTTTTTAATTTCTTCATATTAGCCATTTTTGCAAGACCTAATTTTATTTAAAATTAGATGGAGAAAATTAATGATAATAAAAATAATTCTCTTATTTCCAGCTGAGAAAAAATATAAAATGTGATAATTTGAGAAATATGAGAGAAATAAATTGAAAGTGGTTCATATATGGCGACATGCGAAGGAAGATGAAGCATGAGGTTCTCGTCCTTGTCTCTGCCGAGCAATATTTTTTTTCAGATGCTGCCAGACTGCCAGACAGAATGGCGAAGAAGGAGTATGAACGCATTGTGACTGGCTAACGAGAATCTTACAGACAACGAGTAAACCGCAACCGTTTTGCATTATTCCAGACTCACATATACTGTATATATAGCCGACATATGACAGACATGGCCCTTGGGTCCCTTCAAACGAGATTTATATTTAGAAAACAACTTTTAGCGCAAGAAAAAGGAAATTAAATCAATTAAAAAGAAAACTACAAAAATTTGATTTCACACGATGATATAATCTTTTTTTTATGTCATCTCGTTAATTAAAAAATATTTTTTGAGAATAAAAACTCCGCTTCCTGCTCTTATTATTTTATTTTTTTTTTTTGAAACTGCGCGAAATGCTCATGTTTTGATAAGATCTCAAGAGATTGTTGGAATGGATATATATGCACTTGGGTTTTTAAATTGTGTATTACTAATTTGTTGCTTTAACCTTTGTATAGCAGTACTTTTGACTCCACCCATTTTGATTTTCATGTGATAAGGGTGTATATAAGAAAATTTTTATCCCTAGTGTTTCATTGTGACACATATCATTATTAAAGTTGTATGTATATAAATATATATAAAGGAAACTCACCTCGCACCTGGAAGTGTCCAGTATCTCGACCTCGGTAGTAACATTATCGATAGGAACGCTGTGCCGGTAGAGGAAATCTGCAACAGAGTAGAACGAGATTAAACTGACACCTTGATATATGATAGACCTATCCTGGATCACTATCCGCAGAAGAGATGCCTAAGAGTGATCTGAACGCTCTCTTATATGGCTCTAAGGTCGGCCATTAACAATGCGGAATTCACAAAGTCTAGGTTAGATTTAGTTTATCGACCTTTAGCGTACCAACCATATTTTGTCTATATATATATATATCTGTAATTGATCTTGTCAAAAATTGCCTTTCTCAGAATGCCGCAAATTTTAGAACCCTTTTTCTTAAACTAGGATCGCGTTTTGATGTTCTGTAAATTCTGAGTGTTCAAATGAAGGGAAAATTTGTTTAATCTGTATCCAATTGAAATCTGCTACAACCGATTTTGATGTTGTAGAAGTTCTGAACCTTTAAATGAACGAAAAATTTATTTACTACTTCTTTAATCCGTATCCGCTAAATCCACTAAAACCGCGTTCTAATGTTCTGCAAATTCTGAACGAAAACTTTGTTTACTGCTTCTTTAATCCGTATCCGCTAAATCCACTAAAACCGCGTTTTGATATTCTGCAAATTCTGAACGAAAAATCTACAAAATATTGCTTTCTGTATTGAAAAATAGTAGCAGTTGTAATTTTTAAACAGGCCAAAAAAATTATCTCGTTTATTCGAACCTTATAAACTTAAGGCACATCTTGTTGGAAAATTATGAATCCTTGAAGCTTTATTAAAGGAAATGGGTTAAATAGCTTTAATACCAAACAGAAGAAAAGAAAATTAAATTCAAAATCAAAATGATTAAAAAAATTGTAAAGAATGTAGAAGAAAATAATCTAAAAAGAGAAGAAATCAAGATAAAAAAGACTTTAAGGATGAGGATTGATAGAAGGTGAATATGAGAGGCAATAAGAGTTGGAAAAAGATTGCGACGTTTGTTGGTCGGCTGCTCGTAATAATACGCGATAAAACCTGAGGCCATTGTTACGGTACTGGTTGCATTTTATCAAAAATAATGCACCGCAAGAGTGACGCTGCATTTCTCTACACACAGTCAAATTGAATTTAAAGGAGGACACTGATTATACCCTCAACAACAACTACTGCGTCGAATGACCCATTTCATTTCTTCCGGGACTATATATATATATATGACAATTATTTCTAGAGATTTTTTTAAACCCTCAAATTCATCTTTTAAACAGTAATCACCTAATTTTTGAATGGGAATTATTTTTTATAGAATAGAAAAAAGGGAATATTTATTTTTGATGACCTTTGATGTATTTAAGATTAGTGCGACATTTAACCGGTTTTTTTTTATTCATGCTCTTTTATGAATAAGCATGGCGGCTAAGATTACTTCCACGCGTCGGTAATATATCGAGTGTACGTGTGCAAAAGTTGCGTGTAACATGTAAATTGCTTAAACCCCTCGAGGGACCAACACACGAGACGTGCGAAAAGTGGCACTCGCTTCCTTAAAATGGAAGGTATCCTGTCCAAAAATAAAAACAAATGTCAATCTCTTACATACATATATATCATCTCCTCTTTATATATTCAAAAATTTAATATTTTTTTTTCTTGTTTGCACAAGAAAATTGCTTAAAATCTCTCAATAATAAATTAATATAACAATTTTTTTTTTTTAAATTTATGTTTGGATAAGAAAATTAAACTTATTAAAAAAGGACAAAATAAAAAATTGTTTTACTGTTTGACAATTTCCGAGGCTACTATTAATGTTACAAGAAATATTCACTAATCAGATATTCTCTTTTGTTAAGTTAAAAATTATAATGACTGTGAAAGTATAAAATTTATAATACATTTGAATATCCATTATTATTTCTATAAGCCGCTCTATTATTATCTAAACAGAAAATTGAAGAAAATAAGACTTTCATAATATATGTGAGATCCTTTTTGTAAGATTGGAAAATAAAAGTTTAATACATCAAAATCACTGCAGCAGTTAACTTATTGAGAATTTATCAGGAATTAATACTGTCTTACTATTTGATTTAAAATAAACAATTTCATTGAACTTTTTTTTCCTATCACATATATATATATATGTGAAAATATATTTTGCTCCTGAAAAGTGAATAAATTATATCTTGTTTCGTGTTTCGAAACGTTTGGCATTTTGAATTACTGCTAAGTTCGACAAAACACGCATCAAAGAATGTATATATAACACGCGACTATCTTCATCGTTTCAATACACGCAAAATAACTGGAACTCATTTACATAAATACGTATAGAAAAAAAAAAATTATGTGTTTAGAAACAAACAAAACTCGAAACTCATGTTAAATTCTTTGAAATTTTTATCCTCATAAAAGGTCATAGTAAAATAAAAGTATGGAGGGAAAAAAAACCAAAACTTTAGAAGAAAATTGAAAGTTATCGAAATTATTTTATTATTTGTGATTAATAAAAGTGAAAAAAATGAACTTCCGGACCTAATATGTAAATTAATAATAAAAAAAAAAAAACCGTTACTTTCATTCGGATGCAAAATTTTCTCACAGCATCCAGAAAAAATATGAATTTGCAATGCTTGAATAAAATTCATTTTGCAAAAGTTATTTCCATATATATTACAAGATTATAATAAATGCGTTCAGATTCGTGAATATATATATATATATAGAAATGAATATAATTTTCTTCCAGTGAGTGAAAATTATCACTTTCATAAACAAGAGATCGATATATAAAATGAGTCCTGCCTTATCGAAAGGCTTTTATCCAAGTGATAAATTCAACTCAGCAGGTGCAATAGACCATTTCAATCACGAATCGTTTACCTCTAACTGCCATTTTTAGCATTCGATCACATCAAAAGGGTATTATTAATGAATTCGAGGTCTATTTACCTATATAAAAAAAAACGTATGAGAACCTTAATTACACAAAAAAAACAAAGTGTTATTTTAACACCAGAATTGGTGTTAAAATAACACGCAACAAATTTTACCCTAAATCTGGATTAAATCTTATAGGTTTTAGCATTGGAGAAAATTACCCGCAATAAAAATAACACCAGCTTTTTTCTGTGTACTTTTCGAGAAATTGACAAGACGTGCTAACGAAAATTTTGGAATTTGAGTTGGTGCTTCTGATTTTACAAATGCCTTTATAAGTTTTTTTTGGGAAACTTATTTTTTAAGGAACTGTTTAGGAAGCATTTGATTGAATTCCATGACACAGGTAATTTGTTAGAAAAAGCTTTTTTATGATATATATATATATATATATATATATATATATATATATATATATATATATATATATATATATATATATATATATATATATATATATATATATATATATATATATATATATATATATATATATATATATATATATGGTTCAAAATAAAAAATGCGGAAATGAACCATCATGATCAGAAGCAGCGGGAGCATCTAAAACGATATAAATAAACTCGTAAACACCTCGTAATTCATATCATGATCAGAAACTAGAAGAACAAGCGCAAATAAGGACTCTCTCGTTATATACATTAGTTTGCGTTACGGTTGAGAAAGTTTTACTGCTCTCTGCGTACAATACAAAACGATCGCATGAAAACCACACTTGACCTATAGACGACGACAACTAAAATATTGATTGCATTATGTCCATGATGAAAACATGTTTCCATATCGGATATGTATGTGAAAGATGATGATGAAGCCACATTAATGTTTCGTGCGACAAAAAAAAAAAGAAACAAGTGAACGCGATAAAATTCGATCTATTACGATATTTGTTGGCTTCTTAGTGCTCCTATAAAGAAATTTTTAATGCTAAATAATATGTTTATGATTATTAATGAACTAGAAATAAAAAAAAACCTTCTTTACTAACTTTCATTACATATCATTATATTTTATATCATATATTATAATGGTCCAATCGTTCTTAATATAATTTAGATATTATTTACAGCACGGTTCTTTATTTGCTAAGTTAGTGAAATTTCATTGAATTACTATAAAATAGTAATTTTCTTCGGAATTAAAAGCAAAACTTTTGCGGGGGTATGAAATCTAAAAAGAAATTATTAATTTTATTTTTATTGTTCTGTTGTGTGAAAATTCAATACGCGGAGTCAGTTTAAAAAGATATATCAGATTTCACGAGGGAATATAAAAATGTTGGATGGGTTACATGGCTATTAAGAAAGTTTATTTGGTGGCAGAAAGAGGTCCACGTAAATAAGGTTTTACGTTTTAACGATGCACCTCGAAGAAGTCAGCCCTCAATTCCGCTAACGAATCTTGAACCCAAAAACCAGGGCATTTTTACTTAACGATCAACAAAAATACAGTATCATCTGGATCCATGATACATCCTCAGAAACTCGTTTAATCCTGCGAACTTATATAGTATATATATGTATATATATAGTACTAATGAAAGGCAATCACGCGAGTATCTTTGCCAAGGTACAATAAGCAGATTAAATGAACGCTAATAAGAGCTCGGGTGCAAGTCCGATCACGATGTAAATGACCTGCCCTGGTGGATTTACATCGAACGAGGTCCATTTGTCAGGTATCAGCATTCAGACAAGATCGTAAGCTGTTTTGGTTTAAACGACGTTCAATTAGCAGGCTATATATACGTGACTAGGATTTTCTTTGAATAGAATTATATACATAGCGTTAGAAACTCCTTCTCCCACGCCTTTTAATAAACAAGAATAAAATATTATAAGGAATGTTGATTGAAAAGTGAAATTGCTTAACTTCCTTGTAAATCGATGCTGCACCAAAGGGGTCTTTAATATGTGTCTAATAAAGATAGTCACAAATAATGTTTTACTCAATACTATGTCAGATTTTAATATCTTATGTACATATTGAAAAATAAATGTTTTTATAAATTTTTTAAAATATGCGTAAGAAAATAAATTTTCCTATATGTGTGCTAGAAAATAAATTTCCATAATATTTACGCAAAAAAAATATGGCAAAAATTAAGGGGACTTTCTGGTTTAGAATTGACAAAAAAGAAGAATTTTATTTTTAAAAAAGTGTATTATGGAATTATTTATTATTGAAAAAAAAAAATTATATTTGATTCAAGAAAATATTTATTTGATTAAAGTAACCGATTATTTAAATGAAATAAAAATTTTTTTTTTCAATATTCTCCCAATAAGTCAAGTGTTTATTGATATATTGGGTGATATATAGAATGATTTCATTATATTAGCGTCTTTACACAATTATCGGTTTTTGTGGTTACATTATTCGTATCAGATGATTTTACCGTAAGTTGGAATTAACCGGTTTTTCGCAGTGAAATCAGATCTTTTTGCACCGCAAGGGTTTCAAAATTATATTGAAAGAAGAAAAATATATATAAATTGAGTAAAGAAAAGGTACTCTTACAAGTAATAAAAGAAGATAACATGGCTTCTAGTATCAGAAATATTAGCTTGATACTATTAATAGTTTATAAATATATATATAGTAAAAGTAGAAGTATATAATAGATAAAATAAAATTCCAGTGAAATTATAACGAATCCGTGAAAACTTTCATTGTTGGAAGTTTGATAAAATTAACGCCCACAAATTTTATATATGAATAATCTAGGTCAATTGCACTATTGTAATGTCTACAATATTTTATCTCTTTCTCTATACACAATATCCTAATGTGTGACCGATTCGCGGTCAATAAATAATTCTTTGTGATTATAGCGTCAATTCTCAATGGTGATTGATCTAATCGGCGAGTAAATCGCTTTTCCGACAAGATACCTTCAATAGGTGAAATCAAGTCGATCGATCATTTTCTATACACGTTGTATATATACACTCTAAGGTACTCATTATAGATCGACTTGTTTCAATTTCATGCCCTCGAACTTTGCTTTTGTTTTGTTCAAAAAGGTGTCAAAATTGCCCATCCAAGTATCGAGGGAAATCCGCGTGTTATAAATCAGATAATAATTATATACACCTGCCGCTATTCTTGATTCACAACTCGACATATATAAATTATCATCTTCTGTAATTTTTTCAAGAACTGGAAATATTGTAAGAAAATTCAAATAAATCTATTTTTCATCTGTTGAGAATAAAAAAAAAAAAATTATTTGAATTTATAATAATTTTTTTTCTCACTATGAATTTAAAATCTCTCTAAATGCTGTTTTACTTTCATCTTCCAATATTTTAATTAGAAAAAGTCGAAAATTTAAAAAATCCCAATTGAACCATAAAAATAATAATGGTAAAAAATAAATAAATAAAAAAAAAAACAATATGCAATTAATAGAATATACAAAAGTGGGACACATGTGTCTATTCTCATATTTAACTGTGTTTGTCATGATATTCAAGATAATTAAACTTCGTTATTTTTGACTTTTATTTCACATTTATAGTTTTTCGGATTATTTATGAAAGTTTCAATAGATTTCACTTATATATTTATATGCAAAACTACTTTCTGTGATTTTTAAAGAATTAATTGCGGATATAAGACATTTGCGTATACCTTCATTTTAATAGGGAAAAATATTGTCTCGCAATTTAAAATTAAAAAAAAAAAAAGAAACTTGAATTTTATTTTCCTTGTGTAAATTCTTTGTTTCTGTGTATATATATATATATATATATATATAACTGCTTTTGTCATTTAAAATATAAATATTGAACATATTTTCCCTGGTGAGTGTTCGGGTTATAAAAGCAATTTTTTTTTTCTTTTTAAAAGGATAATATAATTTGGACATCCCGTACTTATGTTTTGCATTCCAACTTTGTTCTTTTTATACGACATGTAGTAAATTTATAACAGTTGTTGAATTTATTCCCATGTCACGAATCATTGCTCACTTTAAATATCTTTTTATTGTCTTTTATATTATTAATATATCAATTTTTATAATATCGAAAGGTATTAAATTATATTGGTGAAAGTCTAAATGATTTCCTTGTTTTTCAAATTAGTTGAATGAATTTTTTTTTTAAATAATAATAAATAATTATTTAAAGAGGAAAAAAAAAGAGAAATTATTAAAAATTAAATGCTGTTGATTAATTTTGGGCTACATTGTTGAGACTTGTAAATTAATTGCCAAAGAATATAAATTTCAAAAGGAGTATAGAAAACAATTTTCAAGTTATATTCATGAAGCTATCAAAGGATCGTAAAGAATAAAATTAATTGACTTGTGTATTTAATGGAAGTTTTAGAATCCTATCGCGCGAGTTTTGTTATTATATATTAGAAGGGTATATGTATTTAGCGGATTACGACGAAAGGGAAAGAGGATCTATGATTCAGCTAGTTGGATTTTTTTTTTTTTTTAGATTTTAATATCCACAGGCGTGTAGCAATTATTGTGCCATGGTAGCCCTTGTGAATTATGAGAGAAGGAGAGAGAAAAAGATCTGCATTCTAAAGGCCCTCCCTGAGGCTCTATTTCATATCGAGTGTTTAAATCTCCGCCCTCTGATTCACTGTTTAAAACACGCTTTAGAAAACAAGTCTGGAAACAACGACAATCATCTCTCAAAATCATATAAATCAAACTAATGCTTGAACTTTGATATTGGCCTTGAATATCATGAAAATTTACTCCTATATAAACACAAAATTCTAACTATTGATTTTTATATATATATAGAAAATTCATCGGCCCCAATTTGTTTGTAAATCCTCGGTTAGAATTTAAACGAATAATTTAATAAAATTTGTCATCTAATAAAAATTTTTAATTGAATTTTTATATATTTGAAATTTGAATATGAATCGTTAATTTTTGAATTAAGGATTAACGCTTTTTTCTCCATATGAAAGTTTTAATTTCATTTTGAAACGAACAGAGAATGTTAACTTGACTTTATTTCTTTAACATTTATACCATTGGTGATTGCTCGCTCGACCTTAAAGAGAACTGGACCTGAAGCACGTGGAGACACGAGTCTCATTTATATGGTTGATAGCTACCGGTCTTCGGAGAATTTAGCAATCAATTGAGGAAATCGTTACCCGATTTTTCAACTCCGTTATATTGTCAATATACTTTAACATCCTATTCGCGTAGTTTCAATTAAGTAAATAGAAAATATTTTTCTAATTAACAAATTTTAAAAATAATTTTCCACATTTAAAATTGAGTGGAAAATTACTTTATTGATTGTTAAAATTTTGTTTTTTTTTCTCCATCCATATGAAATATGGGAAAATTATATTAACGAGAAAGGAAAAGTAACAGAAACTAATGTGCGGATAATAAAGTAATTAAGATACTCTGTCTGTGTGTATGTGTTTCTCGTGTGTCATAAAAACTAGATCAACTGCTCTTACGATGAAAATAAAGTTACTTATTTCTGCGCATCGATTCACACGCGCGCGGAAACTCTCATCTCAAAAAGGATATCTATCTATCTTTCATAGGGTATATATGAGGTAAATATTTTATTACGGCAAGTAACTCCATCGAAGCTCATTTTACATGCCTTCGTTCACTTGTGAATAGAGTATATGGAATTTCACTGAGGAATTCCCGTGGAATCCCATATAAGCAAAAAAAAAAAAATAAATGCGAAAAAAAATGCTTTTGCCGCAATATACTTGAAAGTTGTTTAAGAATAGTTTAAGTACTAGACGAAACATTTAAAAGATATAACCTACTCGATCACAATCAATAAAAAAAAGTTATGCATTTTTCTCCAGAAACGTTTCAAATTCCTTACATACATTTCTTAATGATATACATTTCGTTTTTTTTTTATCTTTCCAATCTTAGAATCTTTTGACATTCTTTGCAGGAAAATTTTTTAAAGAAATTGCAAAAAAATTTACTCACCACTGGTTGAGCTGTATTCGCCGATATAACGTCTCGTCAAATATCGCACTACGACGGCTGTAACATAAAAAAATATTTTTATTTTATAAAAATATTAATTTATTAAAAAATATTTTTTCTATTTACTGATTTTTGCAATATTTGTAGAATTTTTTATATTAATTTTGAATGCATTTACAATTGCTTAAATAAGACTTAAATTATTCCATAATTGGAAATTCTTTTGTCCCTCGGTTGTCGACAAATTTCATAATGATGAAGAATTTTTGTTTGGGAATTTAAAATGATACAAAGGCAATTACGATGAAAGAATGAAGTGTAATATAAAGTTGGTTGCACACGTTCGTATGTGTGTGTGTGTGCGTGTGTGATAATGATTGAGTGAACCAATAAAAAATAATTGCACAAAAGCGTATATAACGCGGTCGGTCGATGGTCTTGTAATACGCTACGACCCGACCCTGAAAATCTTGTCGAGTATTGACCTAACTTGGTGAAGAATAATTCTCAAACACCTGTCAGCACATACTCTTAATAAACATATAAATATTTTACTCTCTTTTAAATTAGTGAGAATTATTACTAATTATTAATTATTAATTATTAATTATTACTAATACTAAATATTACTATTTGATTCAGTATTTTTTTTTTACTGAAATTTTAGTGATGACTAAAAATTAGTAGTTTACACTAATACTATTATTTATTACATAAAAAAATTAATTATATAAACATATATGGAAAAAAATACATAAGAGAAAGAGTGAGAATAATTAACATGATTTTCCTCTCTAATACTCTAATTGACATCAATCAATTTGACAGGTGGTCACAGTCATTAGAAAGTAAGTTCATAAACATAATAATAAGTGTATTAATTTCAAACACCTCATTACAAGGGCACTTTATTTCGATAGCAATTTTTGAAATAAAAGCCATATGATTAGATCATAAATTAAGGTAAAATCATTGTTTTTTGTAATTAATTAAAAAAAAAAAAAGAAAATTTTTTCTTGAATTTAAATTTAAATTGACATATGAAACCAGTAAATCCAGGTTAAATTAATCCACATTACTTTCCACATTCCTCGATCAAAGTGCATCTATATAAAATGATTTCCATGCGCATATGTAATATAAATCATCGTACTAGAGACTTATCTAATGCAATTATCTTCGAATCTCTCTATATATATTCTTATTAATTGTGACATTTTATTAAGTAATTTTCTAAGGGTCTCAATAATAATAATTTAATAGCTTCAATAATTCTAATAGTGTGTTTCTAAATTAGCAATTAATGTAGCGGAAGAAAATTTATAGTTGGATGTCTATACGTGATGAAAGATAATTTTTTTTTTTTTTTGAATATCACCAGTGAGAGTTGGGGTATTTCACACCTGAAAAGACGAGAAAAAATTTTTACGTCTATACCGATATAGTCGAAAGTTGAAAGTCATGAATGCAAAACAGAATAAATTATTTGCAATAAATGCAATTGATGATAAGCAGATTGTAGAATTTTTAAATTCTATGTTTAGATATCATTTTAAAAATATTTTAAAAAATAATTTTAAAAATAATTTTAAATTAGTTTATAAAAAAAAAAAATAAAAAAAAAAAATGATTAAAAGAATCAAAGGGATACACATACACGTGTTTGTAGATTGTTAAAAACGATTTGGTTCTTTGAATATAAGAATACCCTACAATTTTGCTTGCTCTTTGCAAAGAAGAATAAGAAGAAGATTACTTCTCGTGGTCCTTCATCGAATCGTAATTACACACCGTAACAACCTAACACCTCAAAAATAGCGTCTTGATCCGATTACCACAACAACTATAGGAAGAGCGCAATAAACTCAAGTGCCAAAGTAAAGTCCTTTTTTTTCTGACGATGATTGCTCGAAGGCAATGTAACAAAAGTCTTTGACCCACGCGCGATTTAAAAGAAAGGAGATACAGTATATTAAATTTGGCAAAATATATAAAAAAAAATATATAAAAAAAAATATATAAAAAAAGAAAATTATATAATATTATAAATTTTCTAAAAAAGAAAATATTTTCATTTATCAAATATTTGTAATCAGTGTCGAATATATTTGAGATATGGATATTTATCATACTATAAATTCCTACCACGATATGATTAATATGCAAAAATAATACATAGAATTCCAATACTCTTGAATTAAGTGGGTCGATATATCCCAGAGATAAATCAAAAAAGGAATAATAATTCTCTTTTTTTTCCCAGAAAAAAAAAATCGCTATAGTTTCAAAACTCGATAAATTTGAAAATTTTTAAATTTCACTCGGTTACAAAATGACTAGATATATATTGAATAAATGCAAATGAGACGAGAAACACCTTTTCTTATTCTATTTATCGATAAAGAGCGCGCAAAGTTCTGCAATTATTATGACCAGCAATAATTCTAACCGCCCTCTGTCATTATTTCCCATTTTTTTTTTGTTTTTTTTTTTTTTTTTGTTTAGATAATCTTGTTTGTTGGAAGTCGAGACAATTGTCGATTTAAAGAAGGTGTGTATTATACAATCCTTTATTTTCAAATCCGATTGTTTAACGTCTATTCTTAAGTTTGAAAAAAAAATCCAATTCAAAATGAAATGGAATTTTAGATATGCGCCTTTTTGTAAGAACCATATAAAACATTTTTTTTTTAAATATTTTTTTACGAAGCTATTGTTGATTGAAACTACAATTATATAATTCAGATAGTTTGATTATAATTTCTTTAGTCGAAAATTGCCTTCTATAACTAAGAATTATAATTATCATTAATTATACAACTGCTATTAATTGTAACTTTAATCAGGGATAACTTTTATAATTTTAATTACCTTTGATTATCAATACCATTAATATTAATTACCATTGATTATAAATGCTATTATTGAAAACTACTATGAATTATATTTATCATAACCCTTGTATAATAAAAGGAGAAAAAATCTTAGGCGCCGGGAATTGAACGCACGACCCTAAGGCTCGCAAGTCGATAACATAGCCACCTAACCACGGACCTACTACAATTATTGTCGATAGAAAAATGCATTCACAGAAAATTAAAAGGCATTAAAATAAGCTGCAACGCTTATTATTTTAATACAATTTTGCTTATTTTAATCCATTTTGTTATTAAAATAAGCAAAATTGGATTAAAATAATAAGCGTTGCAGCTTATTTTAATGCCTTTTAATTTTCTGTGTACGTTGTTATTAAATCCAGTTACCTGGATTCTTATAACTGAGAGATTTGAAAAAACAAATTTGAACAATTATTTGTTTTTTAAAATAAAAAAATTCAGCAAACAAAATTTTTTTCGAAATCTTTTTTTGTTAAATCTTTATTTCTCTGATTGCCAATACATAGCATTCTAAATAAGACACACCGGGAGTAAATGTGTATTTTTTTTGCGAAGCTATATAGTTTTTTGAATGAGACTTGCAGACAAATTTATGAACAGAACATAATCCCTGGACGACTGTACTGTGTGTAGTTAATAAGTCTCAGAGGTTCGATGCGAATAACATCGGTTGGTGCGACACTATACCTTTCTGACTATAAGTTCGCCAAGTATCGAGAAATTTATGAAGCGCGCCACGCAATGCTCGCTTATTCTCTCTCTCCTCTCTCTCTCTCTCTCTCTGCATATCGAGTGTCATGTTGGCCTTCCGCTTGAAAAAGCAAAAATATACACAACGTACTCGACACTATCATGTTGGCATTTGAATTTTCTATATACTTTGTCGCATTGAAATTCGTAAAAAAATTATTAACATTGAAAGATATTTATATACAAAAATGCCTCAATGTAATCTTTCGAGTAAATAACAAAAAAAAAAAAAAAAAAAAACCAAAAACTTGTATATTCGCACATTTTAAAAATTCTCGCATACTTTTTCTTCATTATTATTACTATACTATTTCTGTGACTTTAGATTCCAACAAGTTGAAGATAGAATTTTTTTCGAGAAAATAAATTCTAATAAAAACGAAATAAAATCAAAAAAAAAAAAAGTTTTCGTATTACAAAAATATGAAAAGAATTTGTAGTATGAGAAATATGTGAAAAACTATTTTTTTTTTTTTTGAAGTCATTGACTTTTATATGTCACATGAAGAATAGATTTAAACTATTCTTTATAACAGAGGATCGAAAGTTCAGATTCTCTCGTAAGCGAAATCATACATTTTCAATGCAAAGGAATATGAGCTAACAAGGAATTTATAACCTGATCCTTCAAGCATGATACCTCTGTGTTACCATAATATCACCAGCAAATTCACATTCTTTTACTATTACTCAGCTTTACTGTGTTATATTTCAAACAGATATACGAGGAAGAGACATACTTAGCAAAATGGTAATTTACCATTTATATTTCGTTTTCAACTTGAAGATTTTAATGGGATTTGGGAATTTATCACCATTCAGTTAATGTTCGAGACTATAAAAGCAGAGGAATGCCAATCAATAAAAATTTTCAACCTACATTCAATAATTTTACTTGTTTATGAAAATCAAATCATATACACATTACTTTATATATTGAATAAAATTTACCTAATATAAACCTGATAACAAATTTGTAAAAATAAGTTTTAAAAAACACATCTTTAAAAAATTAAATATATTATATAAATATTAGAATGAAAATTAAGAAAGCTACTGTTTGAAAAAAAAGTAAAAGTGGAAGAATAGGAAAAAAAATCTGAAATTATGTTGTCAAGTTTTTCCTCTACTTGCAGGAAAAATGATGATTAATGGATTTTCGATTATGAGCAGACAGCTATAATAATTTTTTAATCACTTAATGTAAATCATCAAATTCATCCATTTAAACGTATATTCATTTGTTAATCAATGATAATTATGTTTGAAGGTGTTATCCATTTGCAGATATAATAATTGATGGAAAAAAAAAATTAAATTTGTAATATCTAGTCAAGGAAATCGTTAATATTCTATTCATATATAGTACATTCGCATCAGTGAAAGTTACATCAAGTCAATTAAATTTTA